GAATATCTTTTGTCAGGCGAAGATGTGTACAATTGCATGGAAACTGAAGGTCTACTTATAGGATTTTGGGCATTCTTGCAAACTCATAAAAAAGCATAACCTCGTTTTTCGCATTTTCAATTTATTAATTAATAATGCCCATTTTCTGATGTTTCACTTCTTTTCTACGCAAAGTTTATGTTGTTAGGGCGTGGGCAGCATCAATTTGGCGCAACTTTCACGAATTCACGACTCGAGTTGTTGGCGAATGGCCAACAGCGCTTTTTGACAGAAAATAAAGATGTGAAGATTGAGATGGTGTGACGCTTGGTACGGTCGCAGTCTCCTTTCGCTCGTTCTCGCAATTCGGTACTGGTTGTCAAGGCCTGTATGGCAGTATGGCCTGTCGGTGAGGGAGGACAGACGAACGGTTCTACGAAAGTCTCAGTCTTGAGTTGGCCAAGACTTTGAGACGAATGAATCAGTTCGTGTTCGTCGAATTTTTGTTGGGCCACTGATGGACGGAGGCGCCGAACAAAAAAACCTGCAGAATGTGACGGATCCACGCCACGTTGTCATTTCGGTACAGCAGACCGACCGACCGACCGACCGCTCGCCAACCAACCGGCAGCCCTCAGCGTTGCCCTCGGACACGGAAACCATTGACGCGAATTCTGGTTGCCTTCTGCCTGCCGTTGGGGCAAAAAGGGTACAAGGTCTATTCGGCTGCGAAACTGTTCTACCCCACCTCGACTGGTACACTTTTGACACGGAAACACTGACAAAATGTCTCTTCTACACTTTGACTCGACACAACCTGTCGCTGGGGTAACTAGCCTCTTGACATGTCTCGTGATTTGACATGTCCATAACGATCGGTTGTATTTTTCATTTTTCGGTACACACGACACCACGTGAATGTGGATGTGATATCAGATCTACCGGTTGCCTCTAAACGTTTACGCGTGAAATGATAAACGATAAAATGCAGTCGATAGTTACAGCCACAATGCCGGAACAGAATGTCGTTTTGTCATCAACCGGTCCCTTGTTCGAGTCCCGCCGAGGGCGCAGTGACAAAATGCCTTTCGGGAGGCGAGGTTGTGTGAAAGTGAATAGACACAATGGACACACAAACACACACACATTCGTGTGATTGTGGGGACAATTCAGCCACCAGTCCCTCAACGTCGTTAACCAACTAGCGCGGCGATACCGCTTCTGCAACAGCATGAG